AAGACCATCCTGGCTAACACGGTGAAACCTTGTCTCTACTAAAAATACAAAAAAAAATTAGCCGGGCATGGTGGCGGGCACCTGTAGTCCCAGCTATTCAGGAGGCTGAGGCAGGAGAATGGTGTGAACCCAGGAGGTGGAGCTTGCAGTGAGCTGAGATCGCACCACTGCACTCCAGCCTGGGCGACTGAGCAAGACTCCGTCTCAAAAAACAAAAACCAAAAACCAAAAAATGGTCTTTAAGTCCTGACTTCTAGCCCGGTACTTGGCTCTATAGGGTTAAAATAACCATTCACTTGTCCTCAGTCTTCCTGCCAATCATGCATGTGAAAGCACTTTAAATGCTGCATGAAATTTTAATATATATTTGTGAACACTCAGAACTTAAATGCTGTTCCAAATTTAATGTCTCCTCTTCTTCTGGGTCCTAAACTTTCAATGCTTTCTGGAATAGCATTGCCCAACAGTCTTTGTACAGCTTCCTACCTTCTGCTTTCTTCGGCTGATCGTAGGAAGCTGCTGAAGCCACCTGGCACTTGGCCACTAAGAACATGGCACGACCTTTGTCCAGGATAGCCCCGTCAGCCAAGATGGGCTCAATGGCCATGTGGAGAAGACTTAAGGCCTGTTCTGGGATTCCAAGAATGAGCTGAAAAAGAAACATTACGGCCCTGTACATACCCAAACCCACTGCCCTTCACCAGAAAAGGCTTCGTTTCTGGCAGTTCTCTCCTGAATGGCTATCTCTGACTTATCTTTTACCTGACACGTATACTACATTAAAACAGGCACCACACTCCTAGAAAACACAATATGTGACAATCTGATTTCAGACTATGACAAATACAGGAGGGAGTGGTTATTCACACTATGGAAAGGTTTCCGTCTTTACAAAAAGATCCAGCATTAATATCCTTTAGCTTGGTGATTCTGAGGGGTTGAACTAGGTGGGAGAAAAGTAACAATTCGGAAAATAGCTCAAAAGAATAGAGCAAAAGAAACAAGAGATTCCCGTTGGTGTTAGTATGTTTAAAAAAAAAAAACAAAACAGAGAATTAAAATGGTACACTACAGCTAGGCACAGTGGCTCATGCCTATAATCCCAACACTCTGGGAGCATTAGGCAGGAAGGTCACTTGAGGCCAAGAGTTCAAGACCAGCCTGGGCAACATAGCAAGACTCTGTCTCAAAAAACAAACTTAAAACCATTAGCTGGGCATGGTTGCACATGCCTGTAGTCTCAGTTACTCAGGAGGCTGAGGCAGGAGAATCACTTGAGCCCAGGAGGTCAAGGTAGCAGTGAGCCACAATCGTGCCACCGCACTCCAGCCTGGGCAACAGAGCAAGACCTTGTCTCAAAATAAAATAAAACTAGAAAACATCTATTTAACACACAAGAAGGCAGTAATGGAGGAACTGAGGGACAAAAAAGATATGACATATAGAAAACAAGGCAGGTGCAGTGACTCATGTCTGTAATCCCAGCACTTTGGGCAGTGCAGGTGGGTAGATCGCTTGAGGTCAGGGGTTCGAGACCAACCTGGCCAACATGGTGAAACCCTGCCTTTATTAAAATTACAAAAATTAGCCGGGCATAGTGGCGCATACCTGTAATCCCAGCTACTTGGGTGGCTGAGACAGGAGAATCACTTGAACCCAGGAGGTAATGGATGTGGTGAGCAGAGATTGCACCACTGTACTCCAGCCTGGGTGACAGAGTAAGACTCCATCTCAAAAAAAAAAAATCAAATTAGAAGTAATAACATTAGATGTAAATGAGTTACACTCGTTTTTTTGTGTAACTGAAAAAATGGCTGAAATTGTCAGAAAAAATTTTTTTAAGTATACACTATATGCTGTCTACAAGAGACTCACTTTAGATTAAAAGACACAAATAGTATTTTAAAAATTAGTCAGGCATGATGGTGCTTTCCTGTGGTCCTAGCTACTTGGGAGACTGAGGTGGGAGGATCCCATCAGTCCAGGAGCTCAAGGTCACAGTGAGCTATGATTGCAGCACTGCACTCCAGCCTGGACGACTGAGTGGGACCCTGTCTCTAAAAAAATAAAATAAAGACACAAATAAGCTGAAAGCAAAAGGATAGAAAAATATTCCATGCAAACAATAACCAAAAGAAAGCTGGACTACCTATATGAGTATCACACAAAATAGAGTTTAAGTTAAAAACTGTTGCCTGTAATCCCAGCACTCTGGGAGGCCAACGCAGGCGGATCACGAGGTCAGGAGATCGAGACCATCCTGGCTAACACAGTGAAACCCCGTCTCTACTAAAAAATACAAAAAATTAGCTGGGCATGGTGGCGGGCGCCTGTAGTCCCAGCTACTCGGGAGGCTGAGGCAGGAGAATCACGTCAACCGGGGAGGTGGAGCTTGCAGTGAGCCGAGATCACGCCACTGCACTCGAGCACTCCAGCCTGGGTGACACAGCGAGACTCCGTCTCAAAAAACAAACAAAAAAAAATTGTTACAAGAGACAAGGAAAAAGGAGGACATTATATACTCATGAAACAGTCAATTCATCAAGATACAACAATTATAAACAAACAAACAACAGTGCTCCAAAACATATGAAACAAAAACTGACAGAATTGAAGGGAGAAATAGACAATTCAACAGTGATAGGCCAGGCACAGTATCTCACGTCTGTAATCCCTGCACTTCGGGAAGCTGAGGCATGTGGATCTCTTGATACCAGGAGTTTGAGACCAGCCTGGGTAATATGGCAAAAACCCATCTCTACAAAAATACAGAAAATTAGCTGGCTATGGTAGGGCACACCTATAATCCCAGATGCTCAGGAGAGTGAGGCAGGAGGGTCACTGGAGCTCTGGCAGTTGAGGGTGCAGTGAGCCATGATTGTGCCACGGCATTCTAGCCTGGGCAACAGAGTGAGACTCTGTCTCAAACAAAATAAAACAAAACAAAAACCAAAATAATAGTTGGGGAGCTCAATATCCCACCTTTTAATCACCGATAGAAAAATTAGAAGATCAGCAAGGAAAGAGAAGACCTGAATGACACTACAAATGAACTGGCCCTAACACAGATATATAAAGTATGCCACCCAATGATACATCAGAATACAAGTTATTCTCAAGTGCATATGGAACATTTTCCAGGATAGACTGTGTTGGGCCACAAAATAACACTCAATAAATTTAAGAAGAATGAAATCATACAAAGAATCTTCTCTGATCACATGAAATCAGAAATCAGTAACAGAAGGAAATTAGAAAATTCACAAATATGTGGAAATTAATATACCCTTAAATAACCAATGTGTCAAAGAATAAATCACAAGGGAAATTAGAAAGTGCAATGAGATGTATAAAGATACCAGACTCTGGCTGGGCACAGTGGCTCACGCCTGTAATCTCAGCACCCTGGGAGCTGAGGCAGGTGGATCACCTGAGGGCAGAAGCTCAAGATCAGCCTGGCCAACATGATGAAACCCCATCTCTACTAAAAATACAAAAATCACCCAGGTAGCCAGGCACAGCGGCTCAACACCTGTAATCCCAGCACTTTGGGAGGCCAAGGCAGGCGGATCACGAGGTCAGGAAATTGAGACCATCCTGGCTAACACGATGACACCCCATCTCTACTAAAAATACAAAAAAAAAAAAAAAAAAAACTAGCCAGGTGTGGTAGCATATGCCTGTAGTTCCAGCTACTAGGGAGGCTGAGGCAGAAGAATCACTTGAACCCAGGAGGCAGAGGATGCAGTGAGCTGACATGGCACCACTGCACTCCAGCCTGGGCGACAGAGACAGACTCCGTCTCAAAAAAAAGAAAAAATTACCTGAGTATGGTGGCACGTGTGTGTAATCCCAGCTACCTGGGAGGCTGAGGCAGGAGAATCGCTTGAACTCAGCAGGCAGAGGTTGCAGTGAGCCACTGCACTCCAGCCTGGGTGACAGAGCAAGCCTCTGAGTCAAAAAAAAAAAACAAAAAAAAAACACAGACTCCAATTTATGAAATTTGTGGGATAAAGTAAAAACTTATGAAATATAGTTCTCAAGAAAATGTGTAACTGTAAAGGCCTATATTATAAAAGAAGGAAAATCTCAAATCAATAAGTGAATCTTCCACCTTAAGAAACTAGAAAAAGAGGCCAGGCGCAGTGGTTCACGCCTGTAATCCTAGCATGTTGGGAGCCAAGGCGGGTGAATCACCTAAGGTTAGGAGTTCAAAGCCAGCCTGGCCAACATGGAGAAACCCCGTCTCTATTAAAATTACAAAAATGACCCGGGCGTAGTGTCATGCGCCTGTGATCCCAGCTACTCGGGAGGCTGAGGTAGGAGAATTGCTTGAATCTGGGAGGCAGAGGTTGTAGTGAGCCAAGATTGCACCATTGCACTCCAGCCTGGGTGACAAGAGCTAAATTCCATCTCAAAAAAAAAAAAAAAAAAAAAAAGAAAGGAAGAAAGAAACTGGAAAATGAAAAGCAAACTAGACTTAAAGCTAACTAACAGAACCAAGGAAAAAATAAGGATTAAAGTGGAGATAAACAAAATGGAGACTAAGAGAACAACAGAGAGAATCAATAAAACTAAAAGTTGGTTCTTTGAAGAGATCAACAAAATTGACAAACTGTTAGACTGACCAAGAAAAAAAAGAGAGAAGACTCAAATGACTGAAGTCAGGGACAACAGTGTGGACTTTTACTAACAACCTTACAAAAGTCAAATGGATTATACAAGAATACCATGAACAATTCTATGCAAGAAATTAGATAAACTACATAAAATGAACAAATTTCTAGAAAGACCAAACTACTAAAATGAACTCAAGAAGAAACAGGAAATCTGAATAGACCTATAACAACTAAAGAGACTGAATTAGTAACCAAAAAACTTCCAACAAAGAAAAGCCCAGGGCCAGACTGCTTCACTGGTGAATTTTACCAAACTTTTAAAGAATTAACACCAATCCTCAAATTCTTCCCAAAAAAAGGAGAGGAGAGAATACTTCCTTACCCATTTTGTGGGGCCACTATTACCCTAATACTAAAGCCAAAGGAAGATATCACAAGAAAACTACAGATCAATCAACATCCCTTATGAATACAGATGCAAAAACTATCAACAAAATACTTGCAAACCAAATCCAACAGCATGTTAAAAAGATCATACACTTTGATCATGTGAAATTTATTCCAGGAATGCAAGGTAATTCAATCCACAAATATAACATATAAATAAAGTGAAAGAAAAAATCAGGCTGGGCACTGTGGCTCACACCTGGAATCCCAGCACCTTGGGAGGCAGAGGCGGGTGGATCACGAGGCCAGGAGTTTGAGACCAGCCTGGCCAACGTGGCAAAACTCTGTCTCTACTAAAATACAAAAATTAGCAGGGCGTGGTGGTGCACACCTGTGATCCCAGCTACTTGGGAGGCTAAGGCACAAGAATTGTTTGAACCTGGGAGACAGAAGTTGCAGTGAACTAAGATTGCGCCACTGCACTCCAGCCTGGGCAACAGAGAGACACCCTGTCTCAAAAACAAACACACACAAAAAAACAAAAACCCATATGATCAAATCAATCAATGCAGAAAAAACACTTGACAAAATCTAATACCTTTTCATGAAAAAAAAAAACTAAATAAACTAGGAATAGAGGGAACTTCCTCAACCTCTACAAAAAACCCACAGCTAGCATGACATTTGATGATGAAAGACTGAAAGCTTTCCCCCTACAGTAACAAAATAAGAACATACTTTTTTTTTTTTTTTTTTGAGACGGAGTCTCGCTATTGCCCAATCTGTAGTGCAGTGGCATGATCTCAGTTCACTGCAACCTCCACCTCCTGGGTTCAAGCAATTCTCAGTCCTCAGCCTACCTAGTAGCTGGGATTACAGGCATGCACCACCACCACACCCAGCTAATTTTTCTATTTTTAGTAGAGATGCGGTTTCACCATGTTGTCCAGGCTGGTCTCGAACTCCTGGCCTTAAGTAATCTGCCTCGGCCTCTCAAAGTGCTGGGATTATAGGTGTGAGACAGTGAGTCCAGCCAAGACACACACTCTTGCCACATTTATTCAACATATATTGGAAGTTTTACTCAAAGCATTTAAGCAAGAAAAAGAAAGAAAGGCATCTAAGTGGGAATGGGTGAGGTAAAACTATCTCTATTTGCAGATGACATGATCTTATACATACAAAACCATAAAAAATCTCCAAAACCTGTTACTGGTAATAAGTTTGGCAAAGTTACAGGATATAAGATCAATATACACTAACAATGAGCAATCCAAAAATAAATTTTTAAAAACATTTCATTTAAATTACCATCAGAAAGAATAAAATACTTAGGAATAAATTTAACCAAGGAAGTGAAAGACTTATACACAGAAAGCTACAAAACATTGTTGAAGTAAATTAAAGATCCAAGTAAATGGAAAGACACCCTGTGTTCATGGGTTGGAAGACAATAGTATTAAGATGGCAATAGTCTCCAAACTGACCTACAGATTCAAATACAATCCCTATCAAAATTACAACTACTGTTTTTGCAGAAATGAACAAGCTAATTCTAAAATCAACATATAATTGCAAGGGATGCTGAATAGCCAAAACAATCCTGAAAAAGAACAAAGAAGACTCCCACCTCCTAATTTCAAAACTTAGTACAAAGCTATAGTAATCAAAACAATGTGGTACTGGCATAAGGATAACATATAGATCAAGGGAATAGAATTCAGAGTCCAGAAATAAATCTATATATTTACAATCAATTTTTTTTTATTTGATCAATTGGTTTCTAACCGGGGTGCCAAAACCATTAAATGGGGAAAGAAAAGTCTTCAACAAATGGTGCCAGAATAACCTATATCTGCATGCAGCAGAGTAAGAGTGGAGCCCTATCTCATAGTATATATAAACTCAAAATTATTCAGATTTAAACATAAGCATTAAAACTATAATACTGTTAGAAGAAAACATAGAAGAAAATCTTCATGACATTAGATTTGTCAGTATATTGGATATGATACCAAAAGCACAAGCAACGAAATAAAAATAAGTTGGACTTCATAAAAGCTTTAAACTTTTGTATATCAAAAGACACTATCAAGAAAGTGAAAAGACCAAACACAGAATAGGAGAAAATATTTGTAAATTATATATCTGATAAGGGTCTAGTATCCACAATATATAAATAATTTTTACAAGTAAACATCAAAAAGACAACTCAGAAAACAGGCAAAGGATCTGAATAGACGTTTCTCCAAAGAACATATGCAAATGGTCAATAAGCACATGAAAAGATACTCAACATCATTAGTCATTAAAGAAATGCATATTAAAACCACAATGAGACACCAATTCATACCCACTAAGAAGGATATAATAATAAAAAATGGAAAATAACAAGGGTTGGCAAGATTGTGGAGATATTGGAACCCTTACACATTGCTGGTTGAAAGAAAATGGTACAGCCACTGTGGCATTTCCTTAAGAAGTTAAACACAAAATTATCATGACTCAGCAATTCCATTCATAGGCATCAAATGAAAACAGGTATTCAAACAAAAACTTGTACAGAAATGGTAAGAGCCGCTATTTATAATAGCCAAAAGGTGGAAAAGACCCAAATGTCCATCAGCTGATGAATGGATAAGCAAAATGTGATCTAACCACACAGTGAAATATTATTCAGCCATGAAAAAGAATGAAGCACCGATACCTATTACTACACGGATAAAACCTGAAAACATCAAGCTAAGTAAAAGAAGCCAATCAAAAAAAGCCACATTTATATGAGCCTGATTATGCAAATTGTTCAGCAGAGGCAAACTCACAGAGACAGAAAGCAGTTAGAGGTCACCAGAGGCCGGGGGAAGGGAGGACTGGGGAAGGCCTGATGGGTACAGTTTCCTTTTTTGTGTAATGAAAATAGTCTGAAATTAGACAGCAGTTATGGTTGCACAACGTTGTCAATATTCTCAAAACCACTGAAATGTACACTTTAAAATGGTTAAAATGGTAAATCTCATATTATGTACTTTTTTTTTTTGGAGACGGAGTCTCACTCTGTTGCCCAGGCTGGAGTACAGTGGCACGATCCCAGCTCATTGCAACCTCCGCCTCCCAGGGTCAAGTGATTCTCCTGCCTTCTCCTGCCTCAGCCTCCTGAGTGGCTGGGATTACAGGCATGCACCACCATGCCTGGCTAATTTTTGTATTTTTAGTAGAGATGGGGTTTCACCATGCTAGCCAGGCCAGTCTCGAACTCCTGACCTTGTGACCTGCCCGCCTCGGCCTCCCACAGTGCTGGGATTACAGGCGTGAGCCACCACGCCTGGCCATGTACATTTTATCTCAAGAAAAAAACAAAAAAAGAATCACTAAGGAAGGCGGTAAGAAACAGATTCCTTAGCTCCACCCCTAGAGATTCTGACTCCGTAGGTCTGAGGCAAGTCCTCAGGTATGAAGATATTTTTTAAATCTCCACAATAATTCTAATGTACAGCCAGTTTGGAGACCTCCGCTTTAATTAATAAATTCTTGCAAGAGTTTGACCTTCACTCATTCATTGATTAATATTTATTGAAAGCCTTCTATGTGTAGGGCCTATAAGGTACCAGGGAATATAGATGAAAATGAAGAGTCAATTCCTTCGTGGCCTTTACTAAGGGAGAAAGAAAACAAACATAAAATACAATTTGATTTCCAAAAGTTTTCAATGAACATCCGTGTTCCTCATTTCTTTATTCACACCCCCTTGTTGCTAAATCAAGCATCACTCTGTGTCAGCTAATCATTAATATGAGGCAGGTGTTCTCACTAAAGAGGCAAGTCCCCCTTACTGAATACACAGCTCAGGAAAGCCAGTGCCACTGGAAGGTGTCAGTTTGCCACCAGGTTCACACCTCCACAGGCTTCTTTGGAGGGCTAGCACATGAAGACTACCTTTCCAGACTTCAATATGAACAAATGAAAACTCATTATTATCCTTTCAATACTCAAAAGTAGTCACAGACTCACCAGCTCCTGAGCACAAATATGTGCTATAAAAACAGAGATCGGCTTACCTGTGCAAAAGCCAAGTTCAGCACTGTTTCAGAGGCCAAGTATTGTAACCGGTACTCCTTGGAGAGGGCCAAGGCCTGCAGGAGCATGGGCAGCGCGATGGTAGGGGAGGAAGATCGCCAGTACAGCTCTGCCACGGACAGTAGGACACTGACCGTAAAGAGGAAAACACAGGATGAGAAGATCCACCACCATGTCTCCGTGAGATGCACAAGAGACCCCTTACCTGATCACCATTTCTGTGTTCTTCAGTTTCTGACAATGAACCAACAATTTTTGTAAAAGCTTATGTGCCTCTGACATTTGGTTCTGAGCTTGTAATACAACTGCTTTCCTGAAACAGAATCAAAATGAACACAAATGTTTTAACTAGTAACTTTGAGGGTAAGAATCGCTATTTATTCAATTAGACTATAAACCTCCCAAGGGGAAAAACTGTGCCTGATTTAATTTTTGTTGAAAGAATAAAGTGTATGCGTGTATGAATGTGTGTGTAAGCATGTATGTGAGCATGCTGTGTATACACACATACATATATGCAGGCAGGAAAAATTCTGGAATTATAGATAACAGCATGTTAATGATTATCTCTGGGAGATACTTATTTTCTTCATTTTACTTGTCTATATTTTCTTTTTTCTTTTTTTTTTTTAATGGAGACAGAGTCTCACTCTGTTGCCCAGGCTGGAGTGCAGTGATGCGATCTTGGTTCACTGCAACCTCCGCCTTGTGGGTTCAAGCAATTCTCTTCCCTCAGCCTCCCAAGTAGCTGGGATTACAGGTGCCTACCACGCTTCGCTAATTTTTTGTATTTTTAGTAGAGACAGGGTTTCACCATGTTGGCCAGGCTGGTCTCAAACTCCTGACCTCAAGTGATGCGCCCACCTCAGCCTCCCAAAGTTCTGGAACTACAGGTGTGAGCCACCACACCCAGCTGCTTATCTGTATTTTCTTATTCCCAGTAATAAATAGGAAAAAAAGTTTTTTTCTAAGCTAAAATAAGTTAATGCACATATAAAACAAAAACAAAACCATTTACCAATTATTTTATTCTGGGATTAGATTTTCAAGGTTTCTTACCTATAAACACCCTCTATGCTATTGAGAGCTGTGATTCCTGTAACAAGTGAATCAGCCAAATGATATTTGCCATCATTCATTGCTCTGTCAAACTGTATTTTTTGATCACATAGCATCCATAACTAGTAAGAAAAAAAAAACACAATTAAGTACAAAATGGCAAATGTTCATCTTACTCAATGAGAATATAAAAATATTTTGGATTGCTTAGCAAATACCCTTACAATAATTCACTCACATTCTTTTTTGGGGGTATTTAAAATTTTTTAAAAATATCTCAAGTATGTGAAAAAGCACAGAGAATAAAATAGCAGATAGATGTGTGCCAACCATCAACTTTGTCAACTCACATTTTGCTTTATCTGCTTCATATACTATTAGATACCGATGAAGTCCTTTGCAAATTCTACTTCCCTTTCTCTTTTTTCAAAGTAGGGACTCAATTTGGTATTTATCATTCTTATTCATGTTTTTTATACTTTTACAACATATACACTTGTCTTTAAACAACATAGAGTGTGAGCCTGTGTTTTTAAACTTTGTATAAGTAATATCATACTTGTAAACATCCTTTGATAAGTTCCTTTTTAGCTCAATATTATTTTTCTGAGGGGAGATCATATCCCACTTTATATTATAATAAAAGCTATTATTATCAGAAATAAATCTAATGCCATGCAAAAGGCAGATTACCTGGGCGTGCTGACTATTAGGCGGAAATCGTTCCTTCAAGTGCTTTAACACTTCAGAAGCTGCAGCAAAACAGCCCTAAAGTAGAAAGACACAATTTGATCAGCATAACCTGTGTTGAAGCCACACCTGCTGTACCATGCAAAGATGGTGACAGATTCACCTGTTCTTGATGCAGCACCCTGAGAGATACTGGTCAGAGACTCAAATTT